TGTTGTTCTTTATTTGGCGTTCCGGCAGAAATCCATTTTGGTCTGGGTATATATATGTATTTAATATTGATTTAATCCTTTCGGCCAAGATTGCTGCAAATATTTTGTAATCGGCATTCAATAATGAAATAGGTCTATAGTTTTGTATTAACTGGAGATCTGTATCTTCTTTTGGAATGATTGTTATTATGGCTTCTGTCCATGAATTTGGTATTTTGGCTTTCTCCATAGCTTCATTATATAATCGCAACATATTCTTTCCCAATACTTCTTGCATTGTTTTGTATATTTCTACCGGTAGTCCGTCGGGTCCCGGTGTTTTATTGTTTTTTTGCTTTTTCAGTACATCTAATTTTAATTTGATTATTGGCCTATTGAGAGTTATTCTTTGTTCTTCTGTGATTCTTGGCATTCCTGATTTCCCTATGTACTGTTTTATCTTATCTTCCTCTATTTTCCCCTGATTATATAGATTCGCATAAAATTTCTTAATAATTTCTTTTTTGGCCTCTTTACTATGTTGAATTTCTCCTTTATCGTCTTTCAATTGGTATATCATTCTTTTTTTCTGTTCTTTTTTCAGTTTATAGGCTAGCCATCTGCCCGTTTTATTTGCGTGTTCGAAATAATTTTGTTTCGCCATTTTTATTTTTTGGGCTAGTTCTATTTGGTTTATCAAATTCAATTTATGCTTAATCATTTCCCATTCTTCTCTTATTGTTTTGTTCTGGGGCTTTTCCTGGAGTTTTTGTTCTATTTGTTTTAGGTCTTTCTCTAAATTATCTAATTGTTTTTTCTTCTCTTTATTCTTCTTCCTCGTATATGCTATTACTAGGCCCCTTATATATGCTTTTAAAATATCCCATGTGTTTTGTAAAGAGGTTTCCTCTATTTTATTTATCTGAAAAAATATTTTTACTTCCTTTTCTAACATCGAATTAAATTCTTTTTCTTGACATAATCTTTGGTTCATTGTCCATCTCTTACGTCTTCTTTCCCCTTTCCAGTTTATGAATAGTGGATTGTGGTCTGCCCATTGGTTTGTGCCTATCTCAATTTTTTCTACTTCTATTTTGATATTTGGGGTCATACATGCCATGTCTAATCTTGACCAGGAGTTATGTGGATGGGAGTAAAAGGTGTATTGAGCCTCTTCTTCATGTGTTTCCCTCCATACGTCTGCCAAGTTTAGTTCTTCAGCCATAGTAAAGAATTATTTTGGAAGTATTTCATTTTTCTTTTGTTTTTTTTCCCCCAGTTTTGTAGTCCTTCTTTGCATTTACTATTGCATTATAATCCCCTATTACACAAATGTCATCATATTCTAATTCTGATAATTTTATATGTAGATCTTTAAAAAAAACCTGTAGTTTTTGGTTAGGTGCATAAATCACTACAATTAACATTTTCCTCTTTCCTATTTCTAGTTCAACCATCACCACTCTACCTTGCTCATCGGTATAGACTAGTTTAGATTGTATTTTTTCTTTTACATAAATCACTACTCCTTTTTTCTTTTTTTGGGCCAGAGATGAATATAGTTTTCCTAATTTGGGGTTTTCTAGGATTTTTTGATAATCTTTTTGAATGTGTACTTCTTGCAGACATATCACATCTGCTTCTAATTTTCGTAATTTTGTGAAAATTTGATTCCTTTTTTGGGGGGCATTTAAGCCATTAATGTTTACCGAAAAGAGTTTGATCTGTTCATCCATTGCCTATCGTATCTGTTTTTTTGTGTTTCTTGTTTCCATCCGTGCCTTAGCTTTTGCACCTTCTCTCTGTTCTCTCTCTTTTTCTTGCCTCTGTCTTGTTTCTTTTTCTTCATTTGTTTCTATTGGTTCTTCTTCTTGACTTTTACTATCTGTTTCCTCCTTGCTTTCCTGTTCTTCTTCTAGTCTAAAGTGTGTGTTATGAAATTCTCTTGCCTTTTCTAGAGTGTCTATTTTATATTTTTTGTCTTCCCACGTAATTAAGATCCCCTCTATTGGCAGCCATCTGTACATTATCTTGTATTTGATCAATAGTTGTGTTAAAAACTGATATTGTTGTCGTAGATTTCTTACTCTTCGAGGTATCTGTTTTAAGATTATAATTTCTTTATCATTATAGATCACCGTTTCTTCTCTAGATTTCTTATAGGCTTCATCTCGGATTGATTTTTTTAAGAATTTGACATGGACTTCTCTCACCAGTCTGTGTTTTCTTATATAATTTGTTTGTACACGGTAAGTTTCTTCCAATTGTCCTTTTATTTCTTCTGGCTCTTTTTGTATCATTCCTGCGATAATTTCCACCATCTTCCCTTCTAAATCCTCATTTTTTTCTTCTGGAATATTTTGAAAACGCAAGAAGTATGAGGCCTTTTCCATTTCAAGCATGGCCAAGGAATCTGACATTTCTTTATTTAGTTGTAGGGTTTTTTGTTCCATTGCTTCTACTTTTAATTCCACATGATCTATTTTTGTTTCCGTTTTCCTAATTCTTTGTTCATTTTCTGCTATAGAATTTTGAATGCCCCCAATTTTATCCTTCATGGTCTTGATATCTTCCTTGACTTCTCCTAATTCATTTCTAATCTCTGCATGGAACGTTCTCATTTCTTCCTGATTTTCAGCTATTTTTTCTTGTGTTTGGAGCAGTGTTTCCTGGATCTTTTGAAACATATCTTGTATTACATTTGGTGCCATTTCCAGTTTTTCTTTTTCTTTTTCTTTCCCCATCATGCTATCTATTGTTTTTTGTTGAGAGGGGGTAGGAGTCATTACTAACATATTGATTGTAGGTTTTTTCCCTGTCTTTGTTACGGTGGATGTTGTAGACATTTTCAATATTCGTGTAAAGCTTTCCAACCTTAACATCAATTATTAAGTTATTCCTTAGTATCTCTTTTCCCCTCCAAACACTGCTTATACACCGCACAGCTTATATATAGTTATATTATATTATATTGCCAGTTATCCCAATTGAACAATTAATTCTTATTCACAGTATAAATCAATTTACTTATCAATCAAGATTTTAGTTTAATTTTCTTGATTTTCTAATTAGCAATCTTTTCAGTTACCCCCCTTTTTCAATCAGTCTATCTCAGACATACAGTCAGCTCATCTGTTATTTTGTATAAAAATCAACCTTTCACTTTAACAATAATTCCTTATCTAACCACAATTTCACAATACAATTTATAGCTATAAAATTATTATCAATTTATATATTTCTTTTAAGTATTAAACTTATTAACTAATTAAACAGTTCAAAATTAATAATTCACTTAATTTTTATTTTCTTTAGTCTTTATTGTCTTCTTGCTTTAGCTCTCTCAATCTGTTCTTTCACAGTCATAAAAAACGCGATCTGTGTCCGTCTCAGTCTTTTTTATTATTATTATTATTACTTCTCCCAGTAATCGGATCTCTGCATTCAGTTTTCAAATCTTTTTTTTTAACTTAAGTTCTTATTGTCTTATTCTAATATAAGTTCATATTAGAAAACAACATATAAAACTATTACAATATCCAAAATTAGGAACTTTATTTACATCATTAATACAACAAAGTAAAAGAGGTGTGGTATTATATATCAAAGAAAAATTAGAACCTAAATTAATTTTTGAAGATGGGGAAGGTAGGATTTTGATGGTGGAAATAAAAATGAACTATAAACAAATACTTCTGATAGCACTATATGCTCCGAATGAAAATCAGGAAGAGTTTTATCGGCGACTACATAGAAAAATTATAGAACTGGAATATGAAAATGTATAATGGGAGATTTTAATGTTATAACAGACCCAGAGCTGGACTACAAAACAGTGAAAACAAATATAAAATCCAAAAGAACACTGGCAAAATCTTTTTTTTAAATGACAGAAGAATTAAATGTTCAAGATATTTGGAGACAAAAACATTTGAAAGAGAGTCAATATACTTTTTATGCAAATAGACATTTATTGTGGTCAAGGATAGATATGATATGGATGTCATCTGGACTTATAGAAGCAGTACAAGAAGTAAACATTGGTTCAAATATATGGGCAGATCATATCCCAATGACAATGATATGGAAAGGCCAAAAGAAAAAGACTAGATGGACTTTGAACACAACAATATTAAATGAAAAAGAATTTCAGAAATTTATGGAAATTATCTTATTATCATATGTGGTGGACATGTCCAGAAGCAAAAAATTATTGGAATAAAATTAAAACATGGTTGAAAGAGATGATACAGTTAAGTATTGAACTTAAACCAGAGCCGTTCCTATTGGGTATTCTTCCAGAAAAGATTAGTAAGGAAAATACCTATTTGATTATACATGTAATAACAGATGCAAGAATTGTTTATGCTCAAAATTGGAAAGCAGAGAAAATACCTTTGGAAGAGGTGATAAAAAAAATTATGGATTGTGCAGAAATGAATAGATTGACTTTGATGATTAAAGATAGGAAGAGATAGAGTATTATAGGATATGGAACTGTTTTTATCATTGGTTGGAAAAGAGATATAAAAGATAAAAGTTTTATGATTATATTTAAAAATTTGATAGGCAGAATTTTGTCTTAGTAAGGAGATATTAAAATGGTTTGTATGAAGATCAAGATAGAAGAAATTTTCTTTTTTGGAAGAAGAACGACCGAAGATAACACCGAGATGTCACAGGGAGGGGGCGACAGATGTACTAAATGTTTGTTTGTTTTTATAAAAAATAATAAAAAGTTATATTTAAAAAAAAAAAAAAACAGCCGCCATGAAACCAATGTTTTCCTGAGCACCTGTCACTTTTTTCTGTCCTCCATGCACTTCAAAATCATGAGATAGTTTTGACTGATCTGGCCACGTAAGGTGGAAGAGGACACCCTCAGCAGCCATACAGCACAGGGAAGGCGACATCTGACGGCTTCGCTCTTCACAGTGCTAAAGAGGGACAACTATATTTGCCAAGTAAAGGGGCAGCACCCACCCTCCGTCAGATTAGTTCACAGACCGAACGGTACCAACCTTCTTGCTGTGTGACTGGTTCATAAGACAAGACACACTCTTCCTGGCCACCTGGAAAGTCAGAGAGAGACCATCAGAGACTGTGACTTAACATGCGCTTTTATAGGATGCGTCCCCTTCCCCTCAGTCCCTCCTGTCCGGCCAGGCCTCCTGCCAGCAACCAGCCGCTATGACCCAAAACCCCAAAGCCCCCCAGGCAGCCTCAGTCCCCACCCCCCCCACGGCTGCAAGGGAAGCGAGTTGCAGACTAATGCTAGAGGACAACGAAGACACTAGGAAGCGGAGGAAGCTGCTCTCTCTCTCTCTCCCTCTCTCTCCCTCCCTCTCTCTCTCTCCTCTTACAGAATCTTTAATGAGGACAGTGAAAGGGTTTTATTGTTCAGTCTGCTGAAATGAACTTTGCAACAGGATTGTGACAGAAACACTTCTTCAAAAGCCCAGGACAAGCAAAAGAGAAAAAGACCCCCTTAAAACCAATTTAAAACTCCATGAAAAAACAAAACTAAAACCAGAAAGCATAAAAAGCAGGCAAGGGCAAGTGATGGATCAACCAGTAAAGCCACCCAGCAGCCTCCAAACCCCAGCCAGATCCACCAGCCCTTTGACTCAGCCACGTCTTTGGAGAGAAGGCAAGGCAGGCTCCAGAGGGGCCACAAAAGGCTCTCCTCCTCCTGGGTCCCATTAGACGACCTCCCTCAGTCAATGGGGCCCATACACGCCCCTCCTGCCAGGCCTGATGGGGTGGGCAGACGTAGCTGGGGAGACTGGCAAACCCTCCGGAAATGCAGCCCTTGGCCACAGTGGGCTTTAGCAGCACCTTGAATTGCCCCCAGAAACCAACTGGCAGCCACTGAAGCTTCAAGGGTGTCTCCATTATCCAACTGCTCTTAAAAGTAAGCCTAAATTTCTGAAAGTTCCCAGAAAAAACAGCAAGAAGGAACATAGTTGAAGACACTTACGGTAACTACTTTCACTGTCGCTGGCATTGGAAGTCACATGCTCTGAAAATAGTACAAAGCAAAAATTAGGAGCAATGCCAAGGAACCCCAAGGCCCATCAGAGGCAGAAAGTACACCTCCATGGGTTACTCAGGACCATAAAAGTGTCTGACAAGTGTCTCTTGACATACTTCACAGTTCTCCTGCTCCATGGACAACATTCCTAAAGCCGAAAGAGAAGCCCACAATTTACAATATACTTCCAGAGAAAGGAGGTTACACACAGGTGGCTCTCTGCCTCCTTTCAGGGATAGGGACAGGAGCCACATTCAGCCCATCGCTGACCTCTGAAATTCATTTCCACAAAATGGTGGTGGGCATAATTGGAGAAGTCCCTCACCAGAACCTGGATATGAAGGGGAGCAGCCGCCCAACCCCAGAACATCAGCTGTGGGGCCCAGAGCGAGCTCCACCTGAAACAAGGAAAGCCTGGCCTATAGGTTGGAGAGCCACCTGTGTCCTCATATCCACTTTCTGTAAGGGCAGAATGAGCCTGAGTCATGGGCCTCGTGGGCAAACTGCCTGAGGCTCCCTTCATGGGATTCCTTTGAGGGGAGGGAGCACAACCGTCACCCCGAATAAGGAGGCAGGGGTGAGGGTGGGAATCCCCATAAGACAGCAGCCCCAGGTCACTCTCTGCATAAGTGCCTTTTCAGGCCCGTTTTCTTTCCTCCAAGCGTTGGGAGAGAACGAGTTGATGGCATGTTAACATGAATTGGCACCAGGTTTTTGTTGCTTTAATGTTTTAACTGGTTGTGTTTTATCATTTTAAAATGAACTTTTAATTTTTGTCTGGGAGCCATCCAGAGTTGGCTGAAAAGGAAAAGGAAAGCTTTGTACAACAGCCCAGATGGAGCCGGGGAACCGAGTCCCAACACGAGCAGGGAAGAGGGACTGAGCTCCCAGGGCGCCTCAACACCGAGGCCAGGATGCTTGCTGAGCTGCCTGCCATGCAGGAAGGCCCAGAGTCAGTTTGAGAAGATGAATCCAGATCGCTCCTCAGGAAGGGCCTGGGAGGCCCGTTCTGCATCCCTTGACCCCTCTCCAGTCAAGGGTGGGCGGGAAGAGGAGTAACCTGCAGCCCACCTTCATGCCTTTTCGCCAAGGCCCCTGCCCCCCCCCCCCAGCCAGGAGAGCCCTCCTGCCTTAAGCTGCCTGGCCAATCGAAGCGGGCCTCTGACTACAACAGGAGGCCTGCCACTGACCGAGCTGGACAAAGGAACAGAGAGTCAGGCTGACCACACTCGTCTGGATGCAAGAGGAAGGGCTGCTGCAGGCAGACCCTCCTCCCCATTATTCCTGAGATTTTACCTGCCCAAAGAATTACCCTGGAGGAAAGGCAGGCTAATCAGAGTGGCTGGCTTGACTGGCTTCAACCATGGTCCCCTGCCAAGGGCCAAAGCCCGGAAAGAGGCCCCTGGCACTCTGTGGGCAAGCAGCCTTGGGACCCCTCAGGGAGAGGGGCTGCTCTGAGTGTGGAGCTGAGCAGCGAGTGGGGGAGCATGGCAGTGGCACAGATGGAGGAAAGATGATCCCAATGGCGAATTTTATAGAGAAAATCAAAGGGATCAATGGACCCAATTTAACCTAGAGCTAAGCACCCCATGAGGAGGAAGGGAGGGGCTGCTTAGGATGGCCTGTACCCAGGTCTGGGAAACAGCTTGTGGGCAGGAAGGCCTTGAGGGAGTCCTGGTTGCAGCGGTCAAGAGGCTTGGCCTGGCAGCCTTTATCCAACCGGTGCTGTTTCTCTACCAACAGTGCAGTGTTCTTCAATGCTAGTACATTGAAGTTTGCTGGGGAAGAAACCTTTAAGAACGCATCAGTGCCCCATTTCTGAGCCTCCGATGACAACCGAAGTGTTCAAAGGCTCCCAAAGCACAAAGCCGTTTAGTCCTCTCAGCCCCAAACCAAAGGAAGGAAAGCCAGCCTGCAGCAGGCAAGTGGAGGGGAACGCAGCTAGAGCTGAACAGGGGGGGAGGAAGGGTCACTTACTCAGGCCTTTTGATCCCATGTCTCCAGGGATCTCCTGTGGAGTAGTTCCCCGAGTGAGGGCAAGCAAGGAGGAGACAATCACAGAGAAAACATCCATCAGTTGCACATCCTCCGGAGGCTGCTCCAGGATGGTCCCAGCAGCATCCGTGGGGAGCCAGCCCCCTAGCCCCCCCACTTGTTCAAGACGCAATTCCCCTGCTAGCAGAATGGACTTCCCTGAAGCCCCATCTCAAAGTGGGGCGAGTGAGGAACCCCCCCGCCCGATCAGCCATGAGAGTTATTTCCCCCCCCCCCCACTGCCCCCCCACAGCTTGGCTCCTCACGGATGTTCTTGGGACCCTTTTCCAGGCCACACCGTACGGCACACGCGGTCCCCCCCCTCCCCCATACTTACGGTCAACATCACTGGTCTCTGCCTCACTCAGGTCCTTGTTCTTGTAGAAGGGGAATTTTCGGGAAAAGAGGTTCTTTTTACGCTTGTCATTGAATGACTGCTGAAGAAGAGAAGGAAAGAGGGGCAAACAAAGGGTGGGTGTCGGACGTCTAGCAGGTCAGGAAGGCCCAGGGCCAGCCAGCAGCCACTGCTCCAGGAGAGGCCAAATTCTACCCTCCAGCATGCAGACCCCCTGCTTCTGCCCAAGTCAGGGGGAGGAGGACAGGGTGGGGACGGGGCTCTGAGGGGGGAGCGGGGGGGCTCAGCCTCCCTCCGGGCTCTGCTCTGTGCCCAGAAATAAAGCCAGTCCCTACGGTGCCCTCCCATCTAAGAGCAAGTGCCCTGGTGCCTTCTGCTAGAGAGGCAACATGGGTTTCCAAAGAAACCACCCCCGGCCAAAAAAAGAAAGGGGGAGGAGACCAGCCCTCGTTTTCAGTTTGAAGAGCTTGTGGGTTTCCGGAGACCCTGCCTAACTGACTCGGGTCCCAGGGGCCCTCGGGAATGGCTGGGCAAGGCTGCTGGCATGGAGGAGCCCAGGGAGAGCTGCTGGTCTTGGCTGTAACTCTTGAGGGGATCCCAGTGACATAAAGTCCATGTTAGACCCCCAACGATCTGGATGGGCACCGAGGTGGGGAGGAGGCAAGCAAGCAGAATATTCCAACCAGCTGTACTGGACCCTTCCCTGAGTCCCACAGTCATCAACAATGGGTTGGGGGGGGAGGCCTGGAAACACTAAACACTGAAAGCTTCCTGGGCCCCAGTAAATCAGGGGAAGTTTGAATGACTACCTTCACCAACATGCGGGACTTGGTCAGTTAAAATATGCTCAGCTGGTTAACTTTGACCTTCCATTTGGGGTCGGTTAGCTCTAAAGGTAATAGCTTAATGAATTGTGCAAACCCGTAAACGGGTGAATTTGATATCTGAGGGGAGCCTGAGCCCTCCCAAACGGTTACAGGCACAGCTCCTACATAAAACCGGGAAGGGGCACTCCCCCTTCCAGGTTCAGGAAGGTTTGCGTAAATGAACACACATCCCCGTGACAATTCAGGCAACTTTTCATGATTCCCCCCCCCCCCAGATAGAATAAGGGATGGAGTGGAATGAAAACTCCCGCTGCCGTCCTGCCTCCCCCATTTGCAGAAATGAACTGGACAGAAAGCCTCCTTTGCTACAGGGAGAACTATTAAAAGTCGGCTACAATAGCAAAAATAAAATGAAATAAAATATGCCTACAAGTCTTTGCCTGTGGACTTGTGAAAGCCATCAGCCACAAGGCTTTCAGGCTCCCCCCCCCTTCCTTGGGCAGGAGAGCTTGCTGGTCTTGGGCAGGTGGGTTAAAAGCTCTGGTGAGACAGGGCAGGAAAGGTAATGGGAAGGAAAGGCCGGAGCTGACCAGCCCAGTCTACCCCAACATGTTACTTAGCAGAGGTGACACTGGCCAAGGAAAGAAGCAAGCCTATCTAGCACCAAGCTGTGGCCGACATGGGCCCCAAACGGGGCATTTGTATCACGCTGCAGAAGAGGGAACTCCCCACCACCACACCAAGGAACCGATCAATTTTGCCCCACGTTTTCCCCTGTCTGCTGTGCCCGGTTAGTTTCCCCAAAGATCAGTCCATCATGCACTCCTGATCAAAGCGGGAAAGGGTACTAAGCAGCCATCGGCGACAGCAAGCATGCTCAGCATTTCCAGCAAGATGCCAGGCAAGGCGGACAGGCAGCCATGCTCCCCACAGAAAAACCACAGCAAGGCAAGGCGCAGAAGGTGGGCATGCAAGCAGGCAGGCAGGCAGGCGGGCAGTTGTCTCTCAATGGCAAGCGTACTTGAGGGTCTCTTCCGGTTCTCATGCATGAGTCTGGTGCAGGGTTAAGGTACAAGAGCCGCGGGCAGCTCGGCTGCAAGGCTGCAGGGCAACCAGGCAGCAGTTCATGCTTCCCTAAAAGAAATGTGACTCCGGACTCCGAGGAGTTCCATAAACAACCAGTTTGCCAAATGAAGGGTTGCCTCAGGATGTTCTGCTCCTTCTAGCCACGGAGAAGGGCAAGACGTTGAGGGGGAGGGGAAAGGGGGATATTAGTGCAGCATAATTGATGCACCCCCGCCCTTCTTGAGATGGGCAGCTACAGAAATCAAATCAATCAATCAGTAAAAATAAACAGTCCTGCAATTATCCCCCCACCCTATTTGACCACTGCTTGGGCAAGCCCTGAGGATTTCCCCAGGTGTCTGCTTGCGCAAGTAATTGCTGGAGGCAGCTGCTGGGTCCGTCAGCAAATCTTGGGGGTGTGGGGAGGAAGCAAGCCTCCAGCACCCCAATGCCCTGGGCTGCTGGCCACTAAAGGGCCTGCAGTTGCATCCGCACACAGCTCCTCCTGAGAGCCTCAGGCTCCTCACACTCCACTTCCAGGGTTTATTTTTTCAGGGAGGGAGGGAGGGAGGGAGGGAGGGAGGAAGGAAGGAAGGTTCCCCAAATGGGAAAGAGTAGAGAATGGCCGCAAGGGAATTCAGAGAGCAAACACGATCCACTTGCTCTTCTTCTTCTTCGTCCCCACTCTGGTTGCACGGCCACAAGTCAGCCAAGCCACGTCCCCCACAGGGGGTGGGGGGAGAAACAGAGACGGACAACCAGCAGGGCTAGGCCAGCACATTCCTTCTTCCCAAGAGGCTGAACCAAGCCAAGCCAGAACGGCTCAGGGATCCGTGTAAGCTGAGGCTGAGGTTTTGGGCTCCTTCACCGCCGATTGGTTGAGTCAGCTACCCATTCACTTTGCCTTCCTCGATCCTCAATTTCCCAAAAGAAATCAAATCCTGACCATGAATCACTTGACCCAAAAATGCACACACACAAAAGATCCCAATAGGAAATGGAAGAGCAACGTCCTTATAATTGGGCCAGAGCAGGGAGTATCAGGACAGAAACACGGAGCCAGTGCCAGGTGCATTCCGGGCTGGAAAGGTGATGGGCACAAAAGGGCAAGGAAGGGAGAATGAGGGCACTTGAACCCTGGGGGCTCACCTACAGGCACAGAGACAGAGGCCTGGATTCCTAGATTATACAGAACCTAGATATGATTTCCAAGATGCCCTAAAGGTTTTATTTGGTCTTCCGTGCCTCATCAGGGCAACCCAGATGGACAGTGACTCAGCCAGCCAGGGCAGGTGGGAGATAATTGGCCCTTCAGGTAGCCCCTCAACCTTCCCCAGCCCAGGGTTCAGTAATGGCTCTCTGAAGCCGAGCACCTGCCTCCCTGCCTGAGAGGTGCGGCAGGAAACCTGTGGGCTTGTCATGGAGGAAGGGCCAGGGAGACCTGAATGGAGTGGAGGAGGCATCTCAGAAGGGAACCACTCTGGAAAGCACAGGCGAGGGAGGGGAAGCGCTTTCAGACTTGCAAGGCTGATGTCGGCTCTTAGGCAGACAAAAAGCCCCAACTGTGAGTATTAACACAATCTTTATTGCAAGGTTGCAATAACAGAATCTTGCAACTCTGAAAGTGCCCCTCCCTCCCTTCCCTTTATTTAGAGAGAAGTTATTTAGAGAAATACTTTTACTGTCCCGAAAACTAGACCAAACCTAGGACTTTGTGTCCAATTTTGGACACCACATTTTAAAAGGACACTGATAAAGTGGAAAGTCCCCACAAGAGATCAATCAAGATGAGAAGGCCCTGCACAGAGGGAGTGGTGTACCTTAAGATCTTAGGCCCGTACTCTTCAACATTTTTATAAATGATCTAGATGAGGGGATAGAAGGGGAACTCATCTGCAGACAACACCAAGTCAGGCTGAATTGCTAATACTCTGGAAGACAGACTCAAGATTCAGAAGGATCTTGAGGACTTCCAGTTGGCGCCGCAGCGATTCAGACGGGGAATTAGTGGGGCTCCTCAGAGCCCCGCGAAAACCCCGTCTGTCAACCTGCCGGCGGCAGGTCTGTGGACCTACCCTGTCCTGTAGGGACAGGGGGTTAGAAAGGGACCCCTCGGATGGCTGAGGGGAACGGGCAGGTTCCTCAGGGCTGGAGGATTGCCCTCTGCGCCGGCGGCAGTGGATACAGCAGCCATGGCGGCTGCCCCGAGACCGCAGCAACCGGAACAAAAGGATGTGCAGGAGGAGAAGCGGAGAGTGGAGCAGGGAGTTTTGAAAGCCAGGTGAGTGGACTTCTGCCCAGGCGGGAACTGCCCGTAAATGCTGGATTACAATAAGTGTGTCCCAGCCTTAACAGCAGCTGAGAACTATTGGGGCAAAAAGACTCAAATGAATGGTGAAAGGAAAAGACCTGTTGATGGATAGCATTAATTACTAACTTCTTGGAAATTATCTCACTACAGATTGGTTTTTCTTTTTCTTTTTTTGTGGCTAAATGAGAATGGATTATGTTTGAGAGAGAGGAAAGAGAAGAGGAAATAAATACGCTTTTAAAAGCAAAGACAAAAGACAAACTAGGAGCCCTAGTAGCGCAGCAGACTAACGCACTGTTATTAACATCAACTGCCTGCAATTACTGCAAGTTCAGTGGAGGAGATAATACTGGAGAATAGTTAAGCCAAACTGTGAACCAGTTAAACACATAGAGATAGAAGTGGTGGAAAATACTGCTGGGAAATAGCTACTTAAATTATGAACCAGCTAAATTCAGACTTAATAGTATTAGAGAACAAGCCTGAAGTAAACAAAATAAAGTATTTTGGGAGTAACAAATTATAGATGGAAATGTTGATTGACTTTGAAATGACTTTAAGAGAGGAGGAAAATATTCTTTGTCAAGATCATGGATACTAGCTGCCATTTAAGAGAAATAGAATATAGATTTGATGTAATGCGTCTTAGGAATGAGGAACATATATGAAATATTGATTGTTAAAATGACAAAGATTTGGAATGGTGTCTATTTGGAAATAATTGTTTAGAATTTTGGGTGATATGGTAGAATGATAAATGTTTAGAATAAGTTTTTTTTCTCTTTCTTTTTTTTAAAGATGTAAATGGATAAAATTTAGAACAAAATTGGTTGAGGGAATGTGAGTAATTGTACCTATTTTATACCGGATCAAACCCTTGCTCTAAAAAGATGTATTTTATGTTGTATGTCTAAAAAAATTCCAAAAAAAAAATTCAAAAAAAAAAAAAGATTCAGAAGGATCTTTGCGGACTTAAGCATTGGGCCCTATTCAACAAAATGCAGTTGGGTGGTGAGAAAAATAAGGTCCTGCACTGAGGCAGGAAAAAACAAATGCATAGATATAGACTAGGCAGCAACTGTGAGAGAGAACCAGGTGCCCTAGTGGACAACCGGCACCTCAGTATGAGCCAGCCATGTGCTGCAAGTGCTAAGAAAGCTAACACAATCCTAGGCAGCCTCCACAGAGGGACAGCATCAAGAGCACGAGAAGCGATAGCACTGCTTCAGACGGCAGTAGTAAGGACACACTTGGAACACAGCGTCCAGTTCTGATCGCTTAGAAAAAAGATGCCAGGACCCTAGAAAGTGTTTAGAGAAGCGCAACAAAGATAGGGGTGGGAAATGATAAAGGGTCTGGAGGCTAAACCATACAATGAACAGCTGAAGTAACTAGGTATATCCAGTCTAAAGGAAGCCCAGGAGGGTTAGGGTGACCGCCATCTTTCAGTATTGGAGGGGCTGTCCCAGACAAGAAGCAATGGGTGGAAGCTCATTAGGGGGAGGTTCAACCTGGAATTTAGGAGAAATTTTCTGCGGGTGAGAATAACTAATCAATGGAACAGCTGAACCTCGTGGAGTTGTGGGGGCTCCATCACTGAAGTTTTTAAGAAGAGACTGGATATCCATTTGTCCGGAATGGAATAAGGTCTCCTGACTTGAGCAGGGGGTTGGACTAGAAGACCTCCGAAGTCCCTTCCAGCCCGATGGTTTTAAGTAATTGAAGGTTGTCATATACCAGTAGTAGAATGTCTATGGAGCTTCTCAGTCATACAGGTCACGGTTGTCCCAAAAGGTGCTTTTTCAAGAGGCAACTGGACTTTCTGGTTTTTCTTTAAGGACGTTTCACTTCTCATCCAAGAAGCTTCTTCAGAGCTAGTGCTGACCCTAACCCTAACCTCTGGGTCATATAGTAGAAGTAACAGAACTGCTGTTATTCCAATGATAGGGCAAAAAATTCTAAGCAGCCTCACACCTGAAGCACCTCCTCCCCCAATTGTCCCCCATCAGAATTTAACAAGAACAAATATCTAGATATTCCTCAATGCTTCTATCATTCACCAAACCTCTGATTATGTGGGATATATTTTTTCTTCAAATTTCCCTTTGGCAGTGACTCTGCCCTAAAATGGCTTCTCCAGCAGAGTGACTTCAGGCATTAAAATGGCAATCATTAATCGAAACTCACCCCTTTGTCGCCTCTTGCTTTAGAATTAAACTTCACCGTCTTTAACCGAGCTCGTTCCTTCTTCTCCACTCTGCAAGGAAAATGCAAGAGAAAACCTATGAGGGTCTGCGGCTCTGAACTTTTCCTTTCCAGGATAGGAGGGAGGGAGGGAGGGAGGGAGGGAGGGAGGGAGGGAGGGAGAGAGAGAGAGAGAGAGAGAGAGAGAGAGAGAATAATGAAAGAATCAAGCAGCAGTTGATAAATGCACCTGCCAGAAGCATCACCTTGTGCAATAAAAGTGGCAAAACGCACACATGCATTTGCCTGATTCTGGGCTGCTCACAAAATAGCAGAAGGAGCACAATACACAACAGATGGTGAGGCAAATGGGAAATGTGGCCAAACGCATCCAGAAAGGGACTCAATCCCCCCTCCACCCCAGATCAAGGCCAGGGAGAACAGACAGGCCTTCCAGAGCCCAATCAGGAGGGGAGCGGGCCCTTAGCATTACACCCCATGGAAACAAAGATTTGCTTGGTTAGTGAAAGGGAGTTCATTCCATTCACCTCCATGGGTCCCTGGGACTAGGAGCTTGGTCACCAGCTTGGTCACCTGGCTGGTCAAAGCCCCTCAGGGGTCACACATGGCTGGATCCATGCTGTGGTGAATGTGTCTTAGAGTCTGCAGAGTCATAGAGTCTGCAAAGCCATTGCTGGATCCATCACAACTGTACAACTTGCATTCAAACTTCCCTTTTTAGGGAAGATGGCCGAGAAGGGAGTCTTCAGCTCCCCTGAATCCCGGAGAAAACAGATTACTGTATTTTTCGGAGTGTAAAACGCACCTTTTTACTCCCAAAAAGAGGGTGAAAATATGGCTGCGTCTTATACACCAAATGTTGCATCAGCCATACCTGTGGGGAGGGATGAGGGAGTTGGTGCAATGGCGGCAACAATGGGTGGCAATAGGCAGCTGATTGGCGGTATTCTGAGATCCAACCACCAATCAGAAAGGTGAAAATCAGAGGAACCAGAAGCGTCGCGGCGATACTGGCTGGGCAATAGCGAAGCTCCGATGAGCTTTGCGAAAATCCAGCCAGACAAACCACTGTCAGGGGGGGTCTTCGGACCAGAACCATCTTGGAGGGACGGGGGAAAGAGAGAGGTGTCTCAAAAGACCAAAGAGGAGCAGGCAAGCTCCTCGGAAGGTCGGAGACAGCTCTTTGACCCGACGGTGGAGGAGGCAGCCATTATATCCGCTACAAGCTGGGGCAACCGGATTAAAATGTGAGCAGGAATGGAGAATGAACAGAGTATTGTTACCGGGTGAGTAATTGGCCAATTCACAGGTAAGAAGAAAAAACTGTTAAAAGCTTGAAAGAAGTCCCAACGACTAATTAGCGGCTAATTGGCACTCAGGAAATTAAGCGAAGGAAAAAAAGAACTTTAAAACTAAAACTAAAGCCTTAAAAGGAACCTTTCACCGGGACTTAAAACTGGATTTCAATAAAATTAAAACAAGACAAGAAAAAAGGAGATAGAGACGTATTCTTTAAACACAAAAGTATTTAATTCGGAGAAGAGGAAATAATCATTTTTGTGGAATTACAAATGGATATTTTGTGGCTGGAGGATTTGTGAATTGGAGAGAGACATCTGCTGGTGGAAAGAAAGTATCATACTAAGCTTATTCATATCATCGTGAGAAAGTTCTGAAAGTACCGTAAGAGTGTTTTGTTTATACTAACTAGAACATGATTGCAAGAGGAGCGGAGAGAACAAAGACTGAAATTGGAACGGCTCAAACGAATGTTTGAATTGGACACTATCTGAAAAGAAAAAAAAGAAAAAAGAAAAAAGAGACACTACATGGACTTTGAATTTGAATTATATGCAAAGGAATAATAAACTTAAAAATCCTTGCCTTTTAAATTGATAGCATGGAGAATTGGGAAGGAAATAAATGGAAATAAAGATATAGATGATTACATTGGGATTAACAGTGACAGAATAAAAAGATGATTATACTGGGATTAACAGTGACAGAATAAAAAAGTTGATTACACTGGGATTAATAGTGATAGAATAAAAATGGATAAGGGGGAATACATCTCAAAAAGGAAGAGAAGAGAAAGAAATGGGGAAGAAAAAAGAGGAGAAGAAGGCAAGGGAATGGGAGAAAGGGAGGAAAGTGTCAAGAAATGGAATTGTGGAGAAATCGAAAGAAAATAGTTAGGAGATAGTAAAAAGGAATTTAAAAGATGAATATGCTAATTGAAGAGAAGGATGTTAACTCTAGAAATTATATGTAAAAAGCAATTTAGAAGGAAGATGCAGATTATTGTAAAAGGGATATAAGTAAAGATAAAATGAAATGTGAGTAAGTAAAAAAGAAAAAATACACTATTTAATGTAAAATAGATCAGTAGATGCGAAAGACAGAATGGATTATATATTTTGTTGTTGGAAGATGTACAAATTCGAGAGAAATAATAGTAACAAAAGAATTAATTGAAATTAAGGGGGAAAATTGAAATGTAAAATTGAATAAAATGGAAATGTTAAATAAATGATGCAAGTAAGAATAAAACAATACATGTAAGAAATAAAATAGAAGAAAGATATTGTTAAGGGTTGGAAGGTTATACTAGCAAAGGATTTAAGATAAAAATGGAATAAGTTAAAATACATTGTTAATAATTAAAAGATAAAGGGAATTTTGAGAAAATAAATGAAAGAAAAGTCGGGATTGCCTGGACACCATAGTGGAAAATAGAAAATAAATACAGCAATAGAGAGAAACGAAAGAGGAGTAGAGGGATGGAAGGGAGGAAAAAGGAGAGAGAGGAATGGGAAGAAAGGAAAGAGGGGAGGAAGGAAGGGAGGGGAAATAAGAGTAGGAGAGACGGTTAGAAAGGGAGAAAGAGGAGGAGAGGGAGAAAGGAAGGGGAAGTAGAGAAGGAGTAGGAGAAGAGGGAAAAAGAAAGTAGAAAGGAAAGAAGGGAGGGAGATGGAAGAGATTGAGAAGAAAGATTGCTGTACAATAAAAAAGATGAAATGGAAGAAAGGCACTCCCGAACATGCATAAATGCACTAGGATAAAGAATGAGATAATAAAAAATAAAAGACAATAAATATGAGTTAAAACAGAAAAATTAGAATTTGAGGGCGAATAAAGATGTTGTTTATACAAATAAGCATAGAAGTTTTAAGACGATCAAAAAATGGAAAAAGGAAATTTTGGCAAAAATTGTAACTGAGTAAAATGTATTTGAATATGTTAAATTGTATATGTTATGATATGGCTAAAACTCTGTTCATAAAATATGTGGGGGGAAATGGGGGGGAATCAATAAAACTGGATTCAAAAAAAAAAGGTGAAAATCAAGCGGTTCTGGGGAACCGTTTGGTATAAATTGAGAACTGCCGCCTCGCCGCCGCCCCTGCTCCTGACCTGCTGCCCCTGCTCCTGATCTGCCGCTGCCCGCCTGAGCCGCCGCCCCCCATTGCCACTGCCCACCACTGCCCGGGGAAGCCTGCCTCACCTGTTGCCGGGCCGCCACCGCTTGAGGAGCCATCCCCCCTATCACTGCCATCCGGGGAAGCCTGCCGCCACCTAAGGAGCCACCTGCGGAGCTGGCCCCCCCATCTCCACTGCCTCTACTTTCTCTACTGTCACCATGTCTGGCAGATTGGCTAGTAGCTGCCCATCCATCTGCATCTGGAAGCCCCACGGGACTCCTGCCCTCTTACTTCAACAACTTTCTGTGGAATCTCCCACCTGGACTTGGGAGGGCCCATGTTCTGTACACACCGCTGGCTACTTGGCTCTGCCACTCAGCATATGCTTAGCCAGCATGGCCAACATCATGGCGAGATAACACTTTTCTCGGGCTCCCAAGAAAACATTGATATTGAAGCCGTTTGGGGGTCTTTATTAACCGAAACTGTCTCGGAGGGACAGTGAGCATGAGAGGCACGGACTGGCTAACACAAGGAAATCACAAATTCCCTGGTTAGTCAGAAGCAGCTTTTCAATCAGACGACTGAGAAAGCAGCCAGTGAATAGTGGAAGCGGAGAAGTAACAGACGTGGAATCATCTGGATGAGAAGCCGGTTTTTTGATTTTATGTTTCTTTTCATAAATCCCGGGAAAAATCTAGAAGAAAAGTAAATGGTACAAAGAGAGGAGGGGAGAGTGGGGCGTGTGTCAGCTCTCCACTTCCAGTAGCTTAGTGGCGAAGAAAGTGGATTGGCCCAAGCAGAAGAAATGAATTGAATGAATTAGTAAAACTGATTTGGGAAACAAGAAAATAAGAGCAGGAAGCCTAATTACTACTTCCGGCGTGTCCCAAGATGGCGGCGGTCGGCTGAGCTCCGCGGAGGAGATGGAGAGGTCGCTGGTGTCAGGAGTCTTCGGGAGCCGCTTTAACTATCTCCGGCTCCAGTCCCAATGAGGGGAATGGCCGCCCTGCCTGCTGAGGGCTTTTTCGCCCTCCGGAATATCAGGGCAGGGCGGGACGCGCTGTTTGAAGCCGCCGCGGGAGATGGGGTGGCGGCCTGTTAAAAACAGCTGTTTCCGGCTTGTCAGCGCCGGGAGGAGTGGAAGCCGGAGCGTTCGGCGGCGGTCGGCGTTGCTATGCGGCGGCGGCGGCTTGGAGGTGCCCTTCATCCCCTCGCCCCTCACGGATCTCTGGGACGCTCTCCTGACGTTTTTGGGGGGTCCTGGAGGCGCCATGGGGAGCCCAGGGTGCCGGTTGCGAGCCGGCCGCGGCGGTGGTGGCGGCGGCGGCAGCAGAAGGCAATGGCAGCCACGGATCATCCAGCTGAGAAAAGAACTTGCAACAGGTGGATGGGGGAATACAGACAGCCTTGCCTTGCCCTCAGGATTACCATCTGCTCTTTTTTGAGCCTTGACCCCTGTTATCCGGGGTTTGTTTGTCATCAGAGCTGAGACTGGGGATTTGGGGGAGTCTTGGGACAGGAGAGGCGGGAGGCTGACCAGGGCTCTATCGGTCGCCTCGGGTGGCTTCTCCTTCCCCCCCCCTTCTTCCCCCAGATATGTGTGGGTGTTGGCCTTTGATGGCCACCC